ATGATGCCTGCTGTCAAATGGGATGGACAGGAAACCAGAATTGTCAGAAGAGCCCTTATATAGGCCAGTGATTCTCAATGAAAGGGGGGAGGGGACATAATTTTACCCCCCCCCAGGGGCATTTGGCAATGTTTAGAGATGGCTTGGGTTGTTACAACTAGGGGTGGAGTACTGCTGGCAGGTAGTGGGTAGAAGCCAAGTATGCTACTAAACATCTTACAATGCACAGCACAGCTGCCCACAACAAAGAGTTATGTGTCTGGCTTACAGAAAAAGACAAATACTGTATGATATCACTTATATGTGGAATCTAAAAATTAATACAAATGAATGTATACCCAAAACAGAAAGAGACTCACAGATATAGAAAACAAACCTGTGGATACCAAAAGGGAGAGGGAGAAATTAGAGGTATGGATTAACAAACTACTATGTATAAAATAGATAAGCAAGAGGGATATACTGAATAGCACAGGAAATTATAGCTATTACCTTGCAATAACCTATAATGGAGTTCAATCTGCAAAATTACTGAATCACTATGCTATACACCTGAAACTAACATAATAATGTAAATCAACTATACTTCAATTAAAAAAAAAAAAAAGAATTATCTGGCTCAAAATGTTAGTAGTGCCAAGGTTGAGAAACCCTTATATAGGCAAGCAAATGAACTCTCCTGTCCTCTGTGCTCAGGCCAGACCCTAAAGAGTGAAGCTGTCTAGGAGCTACTCCTTGGTAAGACCAGTTAACAAATGGCCTTTGCCACAGGGAGGTGGCATCTCTGTAGTAAACAAAAGTTGAACATGAGTAGTTATATTTTGTACATAAGATTACCCTTATTTTATGTTTTTAATATCCATTCAGTTTTTGCTATTAGAAAAATACTTTTAAATACCCATCTTACCCTAAACTATGTATAATATTCCAGTTGTACTGCTAAAGGCTCCAAATTCAGTCTCTCCTCAGCTTTGAAGTAAAGTATTAAGGAAAGAAGGGTTAACATGCTTATACTTTGAGGCCAAGCGGTAGTGGCAGCAAGCAGTGAAAAACTCCAAGAACAAAGTGAATTCTCAGAAAACAGGGCTGCATAATCCATCCACTCTTCCCAACGCTAGACTCACCTTCAAGCATCAAACCTGGTGGTTTGGGGGTTATTCAATTAAGAAGAGTGACATACACTTTAGTCACATATGTAGCCTCTCAAACTGCAGATTGAAAATATAAAACTCTTCATAACAATGTCAAGTGTCTACAATGATTTTTCCAACTAAGTGGTGCTGAACTGTGTATAACTGGCAAAGGGTTCAAACTGACAATGCTTATAGAAGAAACTTCTCACTCATTTATTCATCATTTGCTGAGTAACAATGAGCTCTCAGTCAGTAGTCAAGAGTTGACAATCTAGTTGGAAGGCACAGCACATAACCATGAAACTTAAACAGCAAAGACAGTATTCCAAAGCCCAAAGAGCAATACCCCAAAAAGCGTATTAGATTTAGAATAAATCAAGAACATTCTGAGCTGAAGTAAGCAGGAAAGCTTCACAGAGATGAGACTTTTGAGCTAGGATGTGAAATATGAAAAGGATCGGATAAATAGACAAGAAAAAGAATTTCTAATGCAGTTTAGCACGAGCTAAACCAAAAAAGCCAGAATACAACAAAGAGAGAGCAAGGGTCTTGGGATGCAGAGACATTGATGCTTTTATTCACCATCCTTAGAAATGACCTGATTATCCAGCTTGGAATGCTTCAACTGCTTTTTGTTATTAAATCTTCAGATGCTATCCTTTAAATGGGATAGGTAGAATAGCTCAGATGAATATATTCCAAGGCCCTCTAATAGTTTCTGGGATGATTACTCTTCATGGAAATAATGTCACAGGTAAACAATGAGGATTTTCCAGGCCATGTTCTGGTTTTGTAACAGGAAACTGAATAAATATAATTGGCAAGCACATTCAACCAGGTGTGTAAACTTTTTCCCCTGGCTAACATAAGTTGGTATATCAGTAACTGTATAAAATTTTTCTATTGCAATGGAAATTATTGTATATTAAAGGCTTTTGCAAATTCCTGGCAACTTGGCATGCTCAGGTTCTACCACAAATTTCTCTGACCACGTTTTCATTTTATCTATTGAAGTAAGTACTTTAGGGGCTTCCCTGGGGGCACAGTGGTTAAGAATCCGCCTGCCAATGCAGGGGACATGGGTTCGAGCCCTAGTCCGGGAAGATCCCACATGCCGCAGAGCAACTAAGCCCATGCGCCACAGCTACTGAGCCTGCGCTCTAGAGCCCGGGAGCCACAACTACTAAGCCCACGTGCCACAACTACTGAAGCCCGCGTGCCTAGAGCCCGTGCTCTACAACAGGAGAAGCCACTGCAATGAGAAGCCCACGCACCGCAACGAAGACCCAACAACGAAGACTCAATGCAGCCAAAAATAAATAAATAAATTTAAGAAATAAGCAGTCTATCTCCTTCCCTAGGACTTTCAGTGCTCTACTGTTGCCCTCATTCTATTTAAGGCATGCCTGTCCTCCTCTCCACAGTCCCTGAATTTCCAAAAGGCATAACTATATGCTCAAACAGAAAAAACAAAACACCCCCAAACCCCAGTCGTGGCATTGCAAAACAACTTATCACAAAAAGCGATACGGATGCACATTTTGTGGACCTTTTCTATGTCTTAATGTATGGTAGGTTTCCTCAGAAGAGTCTCAGTGATCCAGAGACTCTTTAATGCTGGGTGGTCGCGCCTATTACCATTTTCCTCGGATATATGGATCTAGAGAACTTCTGTGTGCGCTCAGTAATATTTAATGGTTCCACTACCGTCACCCAGGCACGAAGGCACAACTAGGGCACAATGGATTTTTTTTTTTTTTTGCGGTACGCGGGCCTCTCACTGTTGTGGCCTCTCCCGTTGCGGAGCACAGGCTCCGGACGCGCGGGCTGAGGAGCCACGGCTACTCAGCCTGCGCGTCCGGAGCCTGTGCTCCACGTGGGATTCTCCCGGACCGGGGCACGAACCCGCGTCCCCTGCATTGGCAGACGGACTCCCAACCACTGCGCCACCAGGAAAGCCCAAGACACAGTGGATTCTACTCTCACCAGAGAGGCCGTCTAGTACAAGCTCCCGGGTTCAATGCCGCCAAAGGGTCCATCTGCTCTACCTCTTGGGCCGGTGCCCCGCGCCTAACGAAAGCCTCCGCGCGGAGGCGGCGGGCGGCCTCCAACTCCCGCCTGCTCACTCACAGCTATGCTCCTGCCAAGACTCAAGCCCCGCGCGGCCCGACGCTCGCTTCTAACGGCTTCCCGCGCCCGGCGGGCCTCCGGCGGAGCCTCACACCCCCGCAGCCCTCCACCTCCCCAGCCCCTGTCACTGTCCCAACGCCCGCGGTCCCGAAAGCCCGGAGGAGGCAGGGAGAGCAGCCGGCCCCCAGCTGCAAGCCAAGGGAACCCGCCTCCACCTCCAGGTCCGAGGAAGCCCCACCGATACGGCGGTGAGAGCGCCGAACGTGACGCCCGAAGCCTCCGGAGACCTTACACGTCCTCAGCAGGCACACGCCCCCGCCGAAACGGCTCTTGGGCCCTCTCGCGAGACAGTGTCTGGTGGCACCTCCTTTTCTTCAGCAGTCTTTCTCTCCCCGCCCCCAGAGTGCTCGCGCGGCTTCCTCCGGGGGGCGGGAGACTTGGACGTGGCGGGGCCCGGCCAGCCAGCGTGCCGGGCCTGGGGCGCTCTGCTCGGCCTCTCGGCAGCTGGCCTTCCGCGCCACCGTTAAGCCCCAGACAGGCCCCGTCCCTTCCCAGGTAGACGGCGCAGGCCTGAGAGACGCCGGGGTGGAGCCGCGGGCCGGGCGGGAGGGTCGGCGAGGCTGGTCTGGGGGGACGCCACACCTGCGCGGGGCGGGAAGGTGCGCACGCGCGCTGGCGGCCCGGAAGGCGGTGGCTCCCGGGACGTTGAGCGACGGAGCCCGCGGACTGGGCGAGCTCGCCGACGGTGGCGTAATCTCCCAGCCTCTCTGCGTCTCATTTCCTCCGCCTCGGTTTGGGGCGGGACAGGAGAATGGCTTCGGAGATGGAGTCGTCGCTCGAGGCGAGCTTCTCGTCCAGCGGTGCGATGTCAGGGGCCTCAGGGTTTCTGCCTCCGGCTCGCTCCCGTATCTTCAAGATCATCGTGATTGGTGACTCCAATGTGGGCAAGACGTGCCTGACCTACCGCTTCTGCGCCGGCCGCTTCCCCGACCGCACCGAGGCTACTATCGGGGTGGATTTCCGAGAACGAGCGGTGGAGATTGATGGGGAGCGTATCAAGGTGAGCGGATGACAGACTGTCAAGGAGGAAGGTTGTCCCGGGATGACAAGGGTCCCAACCGCTGCGTGGGTTAATTGCTGGCCCGGTGCGGGGCGTGCGCTCCATCTTTTCAAACGCTGGTATGGAGATGGGAGTTGGGGATTGGAAGGATTTGTATATAGCAAACTTCTAAGGCAGTGCTTTTCCAACTTTGAGGTGCATGAGATTTGCCTGGGGATTTTTTTTTTTTTTTAAGTAAATACAAATTCTAATTCGGTCATGTCTCAGGTGTTGCAGATGCAGCTAGTCTGTGGACCACACATTGAGTAGCCAGAGTGTAGGGCGTATGCACTGACTCATGGGCTGTGTCTCACGTGCTGGGAGTTAGTGAAGTAAAACCGAAGGAAAAACAGTGAAATTTCTCAAGCATGGGAATTTCATTTAGGAAGTACAGTTTGTTAAACATTCATTTCAGCACTGCCCTAGGTACTGTGGAAGTAAAGCCCCTTTGCCTTTGAGTAAGTACTTAGATCTTCTTTTGCATACAGTTTTGTTACAGTAGTTTTGGTATGACACCGAGTTGTTGAGAAGAATCTGTTTTCCTGCAGAAACATTCTGTAATTTGTACTTGGTTCCTGCTTGGGTTGCCAGAGCACATTCTCAGTGCCACCCGCTTTCAAGTCTTAAGTCTTGTTGGTGGTTCCCGAGACTGGAGACAGAGTAACAATGGAGAAGGTAGTAAGCCGAAGGCCAAGCCTGGGATTCTGAGGGGTTGCAATGGGGACGTTGGAGAATAAGGATCAGTGACAGGGCTGAGGCCTCCTGATGATGTAATCCTTAGACACACTTCTTTTTTTTTTTTTTTTTTTACATCTTTATTGGAGTATAATTGCTTTACAGTGGTGTGTTAGTTTCTGCTTTATAACAAAGTGAATCAGTTATACATATGAGTCTGAGCCACCACTAACCCCTCAGCTACCTGCTGATAACCCCTCAGCTACCTGCTGATACCATCCCTTAAAACACGTGGACCCGAGGAACTGCTTGGCCTTCCTTACACTGCATTTATTTTTTCACTTTAAAATAGGATGTTCATCTTTACCTCAGTCCCCCATGGGGAAAAAATAGGCTCACTTCATTCCCATCCTCACATCCTTGAGGCACAGACAATTTATTTTTTAGTTGCCTGACCACTGCCTCACCTTCCCACCCCCAAAGGGGTTTAACTGCTAATGTTAGTAAAGGAGAAATAGGGTTGAAAAGACATCAGTCTTCTGTAGGCCCTTTTACCTTTTAATCTTTTTTTTTTCTTTCTTTTTTTTGCCATACGGGGGCCTTTCACTGCTGTGGCCTCTCCCATTGCGGAGCACAGGCTCCGGACGCGCAGGCCCAGCGGCCATGGCCCACGGGCGCAGCCGCTCCGCAGCACGTGGGATCTTCCCGGACCGGGGCACGAACCCGTGTCCCCTGCATTGGCAGGCGGACTCTCAACCACTGCGCCACCAGGGAAGCCCCTGCCTTTTAATCTTCACTTTAATTTTTCATTGTCCCATTCAAGCTGTGAGTGGTGGTCCTTTGGGTGCACCGTATTAGTGAGTTAAGAAAGATTTGTATACATTGCAAAGAAAAAGTAGAATAAGAGGCTCTTTAACATCAGAACTAAGTTAGGCCCAGGGACCTTTGGGGGAAGAAAGTAGTGGGACTTCTTTCTGAGGTTTGAGGGGGAGTTTGTTTGGGAGGAGAAGGAGTTCTGAGGAAAAGTGCGTAATGGGCTTTGGCGCCCAACTGACCTGGCTCAGATCTGAACCTGTGAAAGGGCTGTGTGTCCTTAGCAGGTGGTCAGCTTTGCCCAAAACTGTCCCCGTTTTAAAACTGAAGTCCCACATTCCCAGGAACCCCCTCAGTCTCAGGCAAACCGGGGTGGTTGGTTACTCTAGTCGTTAGGCAGTTTCCTTAATCTTTCGGAGACTATTTTCTCGTCTGGAAAATTGGGATAATAGTACCGCATCAGGCTAATATGAGGGATAGATGAGAACGTATATAAGGCGCCTGGCTCGATAGTTGGTAAATCTTAAGAAGATTCTTCTTCCCTAGTGGTTTAACATCACTTTTTCTCTTTGGCACCATCAATTCTGCAGCTGCACAACCAGAGAGTGAAACAGAGATAGAGTAGGGCATAGGCACACAGCTGAAGGGAAGAGAAATTCCCCTCACGTGGAAGCAGGATAATAACAAAACAGAGGGGATGGAGGCAGGGGAGGAGCTGGGGCTCAGTGGCCCTTTACCTGCCTCTGGGTTGCCATTTATACTTTAAGATCACAGGTGAATCAGGTGCAAATTTAAGAGATACTTACAGCATATTAAAAGTATATAAAATATGTCCAGTGCGTAACATCGGAGGCTTAGCTACTGGGGTTAGTGCTGGCAGTGATAAGTAAGCCAGAACCACAGATGTGATGAAGCTGGGAGCACAGAGTTGATCCTTCTGGTTGAGAGGAGCAAGGAGAAAATATTTTTCTCTGGGATTGTTCTTCCTGAGCTTTAGCTTAACCTGGTACGTTGATAGGGTCCCTTAGTTGATATCCTAGTTGATAGGGACACTGAGTTTCTTCCTTTCTTCCTTTCCTTCCCTTCCCTTCCCTTCCCTTCCCTTCCCTTCCCTTCCTTCCCTTTCCTTTCCCTTTCCCTTTCCTTTCCTTTCGTTCTTTTTTTTTTTTTTATTTTTGTGGTACGCGGGCCTGTGGCCTCTCCCGTCGCGGAGCACAGGCTCCGGACGCGCAGGCTCAGCAGCCATGGCTCACGGGCCCAGCCGCTCCACGGCATGTGGGATCTTCCCGGACCAGGGTACAAACCCGTGTCCCCTGCATCGGCAGGGGGGGGGCGATCGACTTCGCCCCCCCCGGGACACCTCTCTCCTTTTTTTTTTTTTTTTTTTTTTTTTTTTTTTGCTGAGTCGCATGGCTTATGGGGTTCCCTGACCAGGGGTTGAACCCGGGCCCCAGCAGTGAAAGCACCGAGTCCTTCCTAACCGCTGGACCGCCAGGGAACGCCCTCGTTTTAGTCTTCCTAAGGCCTTATCCACTGACTTGTATCTCCAACTGTAAGACTTGAGAGAGATTTTTATTGAGGTTGAAAAGATTACAGAAATGTTCAGTGATTTCTGTAGTAGAAAAAGACACGGCTATTTTGGAAAAATTTTTTAAAGGTTTTTTTTGGTGTCTTAAAAAAGAATAAAACCAAACCCTGAAGTGACATAGAAGAGCTTTATTCCATGTGTTGCTGCTACTTCTATTTTGTTAACCTATAATATATCTTAATGCTGCTGAAATGTTCATATTATTTCTTTGGAAAATTATAAGCTTAACCTGAAATGACATTTCTGCTGATTTTTCATCTTAAAGTGAAAGCTGGGAAGCTCTATGTCACTTTACTAATAAAATGACATTCTAGACATTATTTTTATTTGTTTGATAAAAGTGAGATACTGTGTTAAATGTTTTGTGGCCTGGAAATTTTTCAGAGAGCGTGTCTTACAGCAGTGCTATTTCAGAATCACTTAAAATGTTTTACGAAATGTAATTAAGTCTATATTTGTTAGTCTGTCCTAAGTGCTATATATGTATAATTGAAAGAGTAAGATCTTGTTTGCAGAATTTCGGAAGTTAAATAAAATTAATTCCTTAAATAAAAATACATTTGATTTTTAAATTGAGGCTCTAATCCTTATGCTCCTTCCTTGTGTGTGTATCCTCATAGCCGTACCCCTTTCATATCAGCGTGTGACGACGGCAGACACCAACAGAATCATTAAAGCCTAGTGTTGGATTTAATCTCTTTCTCAACTAGGGATCATCAGTTCCTATTTGAACTTTGAGATAGCTTACTTATTATTTGTAGTGATATGAAATTTTCCCATGTTAATATTAACTAAAGGAAAACAACCAGGGCTTCTTGCCCCATTGGTCAAACATTTAATGAGTAATTGTTGGAAAGAAGACATTTTGTTAGGCACAAAGAATTATGATTCAGTGCAGGAGTCAGCAAACCATGCTTGAGGGCTAAATACGTTCTGCTGCCTGTTTTTTTGATTTGTTTTTCTGTTAGTTTTTTTAAGTTGAAATATGGTTGGCATACAATATTGTGTTAGTTTCAGGTGTACTACATAGTGATTTGATATTTGCATACTTTATGAAATGATCACCACAATAAGTCCAGTAACCATCTGTGCACCACTGCCTGTTTTTGTTTTTTTTTCTTTAGCGGTACGCGGGCCTCTCACTGTTGTGCCCTCTCCCGTTGCGGAGCAGAGGCTCCAGACGCGCGGGCCCAGCGGCCATGGCTCACGGGCCCACCCGCTCCGTGGCATGTGGGATCTTCCCGGACCGTGGCACGAACCCGTGTCCCCTGCATCGGCAGGCGGACCCTCAACCACTGCGCCACCAGGGAAGACCTCCGCTGCCTGTTTTTATATGGCCTGCAAGCTAAGAATGATTTTTACATTTAAAAAAAAATTTATTTATTTGGCTGCACCAGGTCTTGGTTGCAGCACGCGGGATCTTCTAGTTGCGGCATGCGGGAGGAGCTTTTTAGTTATGGCCTGAGAACTCTTAGTTGTGGCATTCGGAATCTAGTTCCCTGACCAGGGATCGGACACAGGCCCCTGCATTGGGAGCACGGAGTCTTAGCCACTGGACCACCAGGGAAGTCCCGATTTTTACATTTTTAAATGGCTGGGGGGAAAAAAAATCGAAGGAATAAGATTTCATGACAAGTGAAAATTTTATGAAATTTAAATTTCAGTGTCCCTAAATAAAGTTGTATTGAAACACAGCTAGGCTCATTTGTTTACATATTGTGCTTGCTTTTATGCAACAGTGGCAGAGTAGAGCAGTGGTTGTGGTAGAGACTGTTAGGCCTGCAAAGCCTAAGATACACAGAAAAAGTTTGCTGACCCTGATATACTCCGTAGATGATTTGCTGTCCTAGATAGGGGTAAGATTTATATACCTAAAAAGATGACT